ACTTGCGACTGGTTCTCATTGACAGCTGCAGATAAAGGCATCAGATAAAGGCATCTGTAATCATGAATGTTGTCTTCAGGTGAGATTCTGACAACTCAAAGGTTTCTTTTAGGACCTCTCCACCTCAGACTTTTAGAAGACGATGTGCTCTGCCAGAAAAGTGGCTATCAGTCTGTTAAATTAATTCAAATGTACAGAGGAATGTGAAATTGAGAGTAGTAGGGAGAGCCAGGGGAGAAGCAGGAGAGGACAGATAGAGAAGTGAGAGAGCGGATAGAGTAAATAAACATAGCCGGGAAGTGTTGAGTCCACGCACAGGACGTGGCTCGGTTTGTGTGTATTTATCAAACCCAGCTGGCTCCCATTTACCCAGGAATGAGTCTGCACCTCTCAGAGGTCTGCGCCTGCCTCGCTTTGAAGGCCCCTGTCGTCTGCGTGTTGAAAAAAGAATCCGCTTTTCTAATGGACTCTCTGGTGTCTTTGAACAATTAAAAAACATATCACACGTATGTTGCCTTATGTGCACATTTTAAACATATATTTACTCACAAACACCCGTACACACACACGGATAAACACAGATTTCACAAGCGTTCACTTAGACCCCTAAACAGCCACTAGGGGATGGATTTAATTGCTTCCAGATGGAGGTTTAGGACATAGCACTCACCAACACAGACAAAATCTGCTTTGTTGAAGTCAGCAGAATTACTCTCGTCTAATTAATTAAGTGCTGGTGGATGGGAAATCACGGAAATGGATTTCCTCTGGATTTTTAATCCAAAATAAAATCTGGAATCTGAAAAGCGACTCTTTTACAGATATTTTGTACACCGCCTTTCTTTTTAACGCTGAACTACCTGTTTGGGTTTATTTTTTTTGCAGATGTGGCCTACACCTACACTGAGCCCCTCATATTGAGGATAAACGGCAGTCCTGAAAGGTTGTTAGATGATGATGGAGATAGCTGCAACACAACGCTCACAGCACCCAAAGAGAGTATTACATGTGAGTAAAGCAACTTCACCGACACACACCATCAGTTCGGTTTCCATTACTGATTTCTCCTCAGATGAGTCATATTATCCTGACCTTTTAACAAATACCCAAGAGAATTAGGTCGGTATCCATCCACACACTTAACTTTTTGAACACGACCAAATCTCCACCCATATCTGAACTTTGAGGTTTGTGCTCAGAACCCAAAAAAACAAACGTCTCTTGATTTTTTCCAGTTTCCTCTGTTCTCTGTCAGGTCTTTCTTCCTGGCTTCCTTTCTTTGGATTGTTACAGTGTCAGCCCTTCCCAGACTTTGCTTGTTATTTAGGGTCCGCTGGACATATTGGTCATTTGGCTCAAAGTTTAAATCTTGATGTTTTTTAAAATATTTTTTAAGTAAGCCTTTTTCTCCAGTTAATCCCATTTAAAACATTATGTACGCAGAGGTCTTTTAAGTTTTCTTTTTATAGATAAAACTTTATGCCATTATTGTTCCCAGCAAAGGAAACATTTTTTAAATGGAAATAGAAAAAAAATGTACATTATGTAAATCAAAAAAAGCAATCCGGAAATTAAACTTTAAAAAATGTTTTAATAAACTGTTTTAGGTTGTGTCTATGCTCTTTTCTCAGATTGTATTTCTTGTTCCAGATTACATTTCTTTATTTTTTAAAATTTTTCCAAGTCTACTTTTTAACAGATTTTACTTTTAATTGTTTATATAATTTGTATTTTTTAGATTGAGATTTACGAATTGCATTTCAAACATTACATTCTCTTCTCTTCAACCTCAATAGAAGTGCATGCTCTTGACACACACATTGAATCAGAATTACTTTATTAATCCCTTGCAGGAAATTTTTTTTAATGTTTTATTTAAATAAATAGCAGAAAAATTTAAGTTATAAAAGACAAAAATGTAATAAACTAGTAAAATACTAGTAAATATAAATAGGAGCTTCTGCAAAAGGCTGCACAAGTGTTGATGCATGCGCACTGTTCTACCAATACAATATAGTGCTAAAGTCTTGCAGACCAATAGAAACGCAGCTCATATTTTCAGCAAATGGAAGAAAAAGTCTCTTGCCATCTTCCCCGTCATTTACATCGCTCCAAATATCAGTGGGAGTTTTCACAGCTTATTGCTGAATCTGAGGTTTTACTTATTAAATGCTTCTTCATTCATCTGTAGCGTTTTCTGTCAACATTTGGCAAAGAGAAACTCTCACTTTTATAAAATTGAACGAAAATTACTTTTTTTTTCCACTTAAGCCTGTATTGTCTTTTATTTTACATACAGATTGATTAGCAACATCTAAACTCATTTACCAGATCTTCCTGAAGGAGCACCTCCCTCTCTCCTTTCATCGCTGAGAGCCATCAAAGCTCCAAGTCTCCTTTTAACGTTTTATATCATCAACCGCCGTTACTCGCTTTTCTTTCTCAAATTACAAGTCCTGTGGTTTCGTCTCAGTCAGAGAGAGACAGACGCCGTCTTACTCGCCTTGATGTGCAGACACAGTCGGATTTCTGAAACAAAACCAAAGCCATGGTTTGCCATTAGTCCATCGCATTTATTTTTTCATGCCTGTTGTAGAATTTAAACCAAATTTTAACCAAATTCGGTCATTATTGTTTAAACCACTGGCGGTAAAAGGGAGTACACCCTCAAGCATGCAACCCTGATGCATAAAAAGACATGATAAAATATTTAGGGGAAGACCTTATTCCTGCAGAACAATAAGTAATAATAAAGCAGAGTCGTCCTCATGCGAAGCCGCTAACCTTACAGCATGGTAAAAAAATGTAAAAATCCTCCACTGTGGCCTAAATCTGTCCATGCTTCCCCGCACAGTGAAGAGGATAGATGATTTAAGTGAGTGAGTGGTGATTGAAAGGAGGAATTTTGAGGCGAGGAAGAGGTTGTATAAGCTGTCATTTGAGAATGTGTTAGAGAGCTGCAGCCTGAGATCTTTTCTTCGAGTCCAAAGCCAGCTATAGGTGGCGTCATAATAGCTAGTTTGTACTAACTGAATATCCAGCATTGTAGACAGGAAGTGGATAACTGGATAAGTAGGTGAACACAGCCTTGTATGAGGTAAGTAGATGAGTGGATGTCTGCTCTGACTCTACCTGCCCCGTCTGCTCTTTGTCTCTATTTTAAGTTCCTGGCAAAAGACTGTAAATGCTCCTTTTCTCTTCTTTCTCTCTGCGTCATTCCGTCTCCCAGAATAAAAACTGTGAGAACCCGCCCACTCCATATGTTACTCTAGAAAGCTTACGCAACTATCAGGTGTTCCATGTCATCCCTCTAGGTTTAAATCAAACAATACTTGGCTAAACTTTTCACACCCCTTAAGCTTCTCCACATTTTCTAACTACGAAAACACACATTTAATGCACTTTATTTAGGATTTGCACTGATAAACCAAGACAAAGTAATGGAAGCAAAATGATGCACCTGGAGTTTCCCTTTGCATTCAGTCTACCAATTGACCCTTTAATGAAATTTCACCTCAGTGTCTCTACAAGCTTTGCACATCAACAGCCTAAAACCCTTTAAGCAGTTGCTTTAAAGTAATTAGAGCTCAGTCACAATGAATTGCCAGTGTTTGTGAGCAGCAATTTTAAGTCTTGCCAAAGATTCCTGTCTTTGATTATAGACCATTTTAATACAACATACCATTTTAATTATAGCTAGGATTTATGGTCATGATGAAAAGAGGGTTTGTACTTGTTTTCTTCCAGAATTGTTCCAGATTTAGCTCCTTCTACCAGAGATAGATTGATACATCGACTGGATGATATTTCTGTCCAATATTAGTGTTTTTATTTTGTATCGGCCTATACATACTTTTGTTTTCTGATCCAGTAGTGCAGCAGTGGTAAGGACTAAGGTGCTCAATGTTCTTTGCAGCACAGCTTTTCCTCTTGATACTGTTTTATACCCTAACCTTATATTAAATCCTCCACAACACTGTCTCTGACCTGTTGGGTGGCTTCTTTGGTCTTTTGTTGTTGCTTGACTTAGGCCAATTCACAAGAACGCGACTACGGACTCATGTTCTCGCCAAGTATGTTCTTGAGAAGAACACAGGAAAGTCTGGACTCTGGTAGAACGGGAGCACGCAGCATAAATATGGGTCGACTGGAACAGAAGCGTACTGATGACATCACCACACGCTCAGCTCGTCTAGAGCTGCATTTCACCTCCTGTAATTAATAGTTTCTAGATCATAATAAATTCTGACTTTTTTCATTTAGTGGGGGAATAATAATGAACACAGTCAGATAAACACAAATCAAATGTCAAATAAAACAAAAAAACTCGGCATCAGAATCAGCGGTCCTTCACACACGGCTTTGCAGAGAGAGGGCTGCTGCAGACGGGCTGCAGTTAGAGGTCCGCTGGTTGCCATGGTCCTCTCAACTTCAGATTTTTCTTTATTTTTTATTACGCATTTAATCGGTAAATAGGCCATATAGTGATGCTTAAAAGTATAATATTCTCATCTCCAATTATCTTAAAACATACTTTTATTGAACAACGGCAACAAAAAAGGGAACTTTCAACTTAATACTTCCATTGGAAGCTGCTGCTGCCGCAGTGCATGCTGGGACAGCTGTCAATCTCAAGAACGGACGAGTCTGCTCTGATGCATGCTGGGTAAATAGGGAGGGGTGAGAACAACGGGGACAACATGGACTTTGTTCGTTCTCAGTCTGCTGTTCTTGTGAATTGTAACAGTAGTAGGTTGATGAGTTTTCACGAGTACACAAGAACGCTCAATTACACATAATGAGAAACGGCCTTAATAGGGATATTGGTTAAAAAGGTTAAAGCATGGATGCCAGTTTTTGCAGTCTTTAAAAAAAAATTAGTAAGGATTTTATCATTATCTTCTACTGGACAATTAGAACTGGCTGTCACCTTTATGAGTTCATGCTCCTTCTCTGAGCTCTCCTTTGCTGATTCTCTCGTACTCGCATGTCGACCTGTTCCTGTGCACTCGAGTCAACTTCTGTCACTTTTAGAGTGGAACCGAACTGAGAAATTGTAAAAGTAGGTAGGCTACTTTAAGGACATCCGGCTTCTTGAGACAGTACNGCAAAGGAAACATTTTTTAAATGAAAATAGAAAAAAAATGTACATTATGTAAATCAAAAAAAGCAATCCGGAAATTAAACTTTAAAAAATGTTTTAATAAACTGTTTTAGGTTGTGTCTATGCTCTTTTCTCAGATTGTATTTGTTGTTCCAGATGACATTTCTTTTTTTTTAATTTTTTCCAAGTCTACTTTTTAACAGATTTTACTTTTAATTCTTTATATAATTTGTAGGGTTGTCACGATACTGAACTTTTCAACTCGATACCGATACTAAGGAAAATATTCAATACTCGATACCATTTTCGATACCACAAGAATAAAAACAAAGACTCCAAAATTCTACAGAAATATTTTCATTTATAAATAAAATACAATAAATAAGTACAATAAACAATGAGAACAATATTTTGCGGTTGTTTGCTTTGCACAATATTAAGCAAGCTTGATAAAAACTTACAAAACTAAAATTAAGTGTCTCTTTCTTGGCTATGCTTTGCACACATAACAATGACACTAGCCAAACCGGTTAAGAAACAAAAATAATTGCACAGAATTATTCAATCACACAGTGTTCAGAAAGTGCATTGTCCTCTACTCTGCACTTTAGATGAATGACTGTTTAGGTGCCACTGGTGGTGGCACTGTATCGATACTTTTGAAAACGAGTATCGTATCCGGATACAACGTTTCGGTATCGATACTTTTTCGAGTATCGATACTTTTGACAACCCTGATCATTTTTTTTTTTTTTAGATTGAGATTTACGAATTGCATTCTTTTCAAATTGCATTTCAAACATTACATTCTCTTCTCTTCAACCTCAATAGAAGTGCATGCTCTTGACACACACATTGAATCAGAATTACTTTATTAATCCCTTGCAGGAAATTTTTTTTAATG